CTGAGGCGGCGGAGTGAAACTGCTGCGCCGTTTAAGGTGGAACGTACGAGTGAGAAGTTGTTGAATAGGAAGCCAAATTTAGCCTTTTTATTCTGTACGCAATCCTCTGGTGTTTACCGTCTGTGTGTGTGTGTGTGTGTGTGTGTGTGTTTGAGGGGTGTGTCCGTGTACTAAAATAGCCGTGTGTGTGTGTGAGGGGTGTGTATGTTGTGTGTGAACAATAGGAAACCTCGTTTCTTTTGTTTTCTAAAAGCATCACCTGCATCACACACCTGTGAGTAATTTCCGATGGGCGGAGCCAAAGTGTTCTATTCCCACACACACACACACACACACACACACACACACACACACACAGTACACAAACAGCGTACATTCACTTTCTACACCGTGAGAAAGACTGTACAGATGCAAACAAGGTAGACGTCCCCTCAAAGGGACGACACGGCCCTAAAGCCCAACTGCACACTTTAAAGTGGACTTTCACTCAGTTTCCCAGGTGATCGCTAAACTGGGCCAGACCTGTTTGTGCTTTATGCATAAAAGAAGGTGTGAAACGGCGAAAAGTGGGAGATTCGCAGATCTGACAGTGCAATGGAGGAGTGGCTTGACCTGGAGGTCCTTTCCCTATAGACACCATAGACACTATAAACATCACAGACACTATAAACATCATAGAAACTGTGAACATTATAAACGTTATTAATTTGCATGTGTTCTGAAAGCAGCTCCTCCATGTTCTCTGTAGACGTGTCTCGTCACCAGGACTGAGTTCAGCCCCGAAAAAACCTAGCAAACAATTTATTTAAACGGAAACAGCGAGTGGGTTTACATGCACTCAAAAATCCGATGATAATCGGATTTCTGCAGTGATCTGATTATTCAAATGGTCATCTAAACACCATACTCAAATCTAGAAATCTGATTAAGAAATCTTATAAAGAGGCTGGATTTTAGCTCAGTAATCAGATTCCTCAGTGCATGTAAACTCTTACTCTGATTTCTTTCAGATTTCTCAGTCTGCGCATGGGCGAGAGCAGATCGGAAATTAACGAGCAGCGTTTAACGCAGAACCCGCAACACGCAGCACAGCACTTTTGGAGCAATACTGAAATCAAATACATGCTTGACGAAATGAGGGATTTAAATATTCTTCATCTTCTAGATGAAGTGAGTTTTATGTTACGTTTACGTCACGTCTGTTTCTGTGAGTTTATTGGCTGATAATAAAGCATAAGTCTGATTACTGCCTGACTCATGTAGACATGGAGTTTCCCCATTATCTGATTACCCAAGAGCATGAAAACACACTGAACCAGTTACTGACACAATCTGATTTTCTGCAGTTATCAGATTATTAAGTGTAAACACACTGAACCAGTTACAGACACAATCTGATTTTCTGCAGTTATCAGATTATTAAGTGTAAACACACTGAACCAGTTACAGACACAATCTGATTTTCTGCAGTTATCAGATTATTAAGTGTAAACACACTGAACCAGTTACAGACACAATCTGATTTTCTGCAGTTATCAGATTGTTAAGCATGAACACACTGAAACAGTTACTGACACAATCTGATTTTCTGCAGTAATCAGATTATTAAGTGTAAACACACTGAACCAGTTACAGACACAATCTGATTTTCTGCAGTTATCAGATTGTTAAGCATGAAACACACTGAAACAGTTACTGACACAATCTGATTTTCTGCAGTTATCAGATTATTAAGTGTAAACACACTGAACCAGTTACTGACACAATCTGATTTTCTGCAGTTATTAGATTGTGAAGTGTAAACACACTGAACCAGTTACTGACACAATCTGATTTTCTGCAGTTATCAGATTGTTAAGCGTGAACACACTGAAAGTTACTGACACAATCTGATTTTCTGCAGTAATCAGATTATTAAGTGTAAACACACTGAAACTGTTACTGACACAATCTGATTTAACTCACTCACTGACGTGCTGAGCGCTCTGTTGTGTTACGCAGGCTGGGAAGGTGATTGTTGTCGTCCCTTTTTAGTGAATTCAATTAAAAATCTTTACAGTGCGACACTTACGGCAACTCGTCCTCAGTAGTTGTTACCCTGAGCTGCAGTGGCTACGTTAGTTGAGACTTTATTAAATTCCACTGTGAGTGCTGATTTTTTAATACAGCGGGTTTATATACACGTCTCCACTGATTGGGTAACACCTCTGACACGCCCACCAAACCAGAGAAAACACACCTCAGAGCTCCACATCATTTCACAGAAACATGTCGTTCCACCTGGAAACCGTACGATGCATGTTTTGAGATTGAATGCTCCTCTGTTTTCGCTCCGAGCTCTCTGATTGGCTGCTCAGTTACGTCTCTGCCCGTTGCGTCAACGTTTTCTGTTGTAAGAATGTTTGAAAACATCACGAGGAATCTGATCACTCTGATCTTGAGGCCAAACCCTGAGCTGTTCTCTGAACGATTTAGAGTAAATATCTAACCGTGGTTTTTCTAACCAACATTGTGACTGATTTAAACTATGACACTGACTATAAGTTTAGCTGTTATGAGCAGATAAATACACAAACGTCACATCGTACCACTCAGCGTTAGCTGGCTAGTAGGTCGCTAACAGTACTCGCTTTAATGGTTTGGCCCACTTTGTAGCTCAACCATGTTGAAAATGACAAAATTCTGAAAAAAGCATAAAGACTAAAGAACAACTCATCTAAAGGCAGCTGATGAGCTCAGCCTTATCAGGGTAAACCGCCCAACTTAAACACACAGACAGCGTTATTAATAAGGCCGTGTGTGTGTGTGTGTGTGTATATGTCTGTGTGTGTGAGTGTGTGTGTGTGTGTGTGTGTCTGTGTGTGTGAGTGGGTGTGTGTGTACATGTCTGTGTGTGTGTGTGTGTGTGTGTGTGTGTGTATATGTCTGTGTGTGTGTGTGTGTGTGTGTGTGTGTCTGTGTGTAGCGTGTGTGTGTGTGTGTGTACATGTCTGTGTGTGTGTGTGTGTGTGTGTCTGTGTACATGTCTGTGTGTGTGTGGTGTGTGTGTGTGTGTGTGTGTCTGTGTATATGTCTGTGTGTGTGTGTGTGTGTGTGTGTGTGTGTGTGTCTGTGTATATGTCTGTGTGTGTGTGAGTGTGTGTGTGTGTGTGTGTGTGTCTGTGTACATGTCTGTGTGTGTGTGTGTGTGTGTGTGTGTCTGTGTATATGTCTGTGTGTGTGTGAGTGTGTGTGTGTGTGTGTGTGTCTGTGTGTGTGTGTGTGTGTGTGTGTGTTGTGTGTGTGTGTGTGTGTGTGTGTGTGTGTGGTGTGTGTGTCTGTGTATATGTCTGTGTGTGTGTGAGTGTGTGTGTGTGTGTCTGTGTGTGTGTGTGTCTGTGTATATGTCTGTGTGTGTGTGAGTGTGTGTGTGAGTGTGTGTGTCGTGTGTGTGTGTGTGTCTGTGTATATGTCTGTGTGTGTGTGAGTGTGTGTGTGTGTGTGTGTGTGTGTGTGTGTGTATGTCTGTGTGTGTGTGAGTGTGTGTGTGAGTGTGTGTGTCTGTGTGTGTGTGTGTGTCTGTGTGTGTGTGTGACAGGCTCCAGTCCTTGCGGAGCAGAACTCAGCAGAACTCAGGAGAACCATTTCTCCATGCAGAGAACCCTTTAATCATGCAAATGGTTCTTTGAATGTTTATGGTTCTATACAGAACCATTGTCGCTACTAGAGAACCATCATTTTAAGAGTGTAGGCTGTCATTAAAACTGCACTTCATCACTGAACACTGCACACCTTCAAACCGTGATTTCAGGATAAAACGCCCAGATTTCCGCCCACACTGCCGGATCATTGAGTTCCTGAGCTGGAAAAACACTTCCAACCGGAAATCTGAGCAAATCAGGGTCAAAATCGGGCTGAAACTGGCGCAGCGTCGGTTCCACTTATCGTCTGTTTGTCTAAAAAAGGTCCAGACGAATCACCATTAAACCTCCTGAGCTATCAAAGATCAACATTTCAACACTTCAGCAATAAAGGCTCCCACTGGGTGTGTGTGAGTGTGTGTGTGAGTGTGAGTGTGTGTGTGAGTGTGAGTGTGTGTGTGAGTGTGAGTGTGTGTGTGTGTGTGTGGAGACGAGTCAGGACGTGCAGAAACACACTCCTACACTGTGTAGAGAGGAGCGTACAAGTCTCAGTGAATCACAGAGGCAGATTCTGCTGATAGGAGTCAGTTTGGTCGGTGCTGCAGCTTCATTGGGTGGATCTAAAGCTCTTCACCTGCTTAAGTAAGCTCTCCGTGTTCTCAATGTTCTCAGTGTTCTCAGTGCTGCTTAACATGGTGATTAACGTTTCTAAAATACCTGGACAGTTTAGTGTTGAAAATGGTGAGAAACTTACTGACTCAGAACTGTTCACAGTGGTGGTGATAGGAACCAGACGTCCCCCTCTAAAAGCTCCCTCACAGAAAGTTCCTACAGTAAATGGTTATGAATTCACTGCCTGATGACTGAGACACTGTTTTATGATAGTTTAGAGAACTTAAACTCCATTCATGGTGGAGGGATACATGCAGGGCGCTGTGAGGCAAAATAGTCCCCAAAGAAAACTTATTATTTCAGATTTTCCACTATTTTCCATCATCAACATTCCATATAAACTCAGAAGACTCGTGTAGGTTCACTGGTGGTTCTGGATAGTAAATAAAATGTCTATATCTGTGTTGTAGTCATGGCGACCCCTGGTTCCTATCACCACCACTGTAAACACATCTGAACCATTTCACACCAAACCCCTCTGAACCTCTCTGATTACAGCTCAATCCTGGAAAATCGGTGGAGTTCTCCTTTAAAGTTAAGGTACAGTGTCACTACAGTGGTACAGAATCAGTGGGTGTGAGTGTGTGAGTGTGTTCGAGTGTGTGTGTGTGTGGTGTGTGTGTGTGTGAGTGTGTGAGTGTGTTCGAGTGTGTGTGTGTGTGAGTGTGTGAGTGTGTGTGTGTGTGTGTGTGGTGTGTGTGTGTGTGAGTGTGTGAGTGTGTTCGAGTGTGTGTGTGTGTGAGTGTGTGAGTGTGTGAGTGTGTTCGAGTGTGTGTGTGTGTGAGTGTGTGAGTGTGTGTGTGGGCTGTACTTACTCAGGTAGATGAGAGAGCGGAACAGGACCATCTCACAGCTGAATGTCTCACACTCACACACACCGAACACCACACCTGCACCTTTTATACACCTGCCCGCCTCCTCGGAGGCCCAGCGGGGGGAGTGAGTGAGCGAGAGGGAGATAATGATTAACCCTGCGTGCTCCGGGGTTCATTACAGCTGCTTAATGACTCATTACCTCCAGACTCGGCACATAAAGAGCTCTGAGCCGTGGAGCCGCTCAGCTCCGCTCTGCACTCACTAAACCCTCGGATACCACACACTACATACCACACGCTCTCCTGCTCACTTCCTGCTTCAGACCAGACACAAGACTGTCGAACTCCAGGGGGCGCCAGACAGACTCCTCGGTGAATGGGAGTGAATGGAACTGAACAGCTAAAACAAAAAATTAACCTAGTTTCTAACCATCAACACAGGAACTTCATTTAGCATTACTGCTACTCAGCGCTGATTGGTTAGCATTACTGTTACTGAGAGCTGATTGGTTAGCATTACTGCTACTCAGCGCTGATTGGTTAGCATTACTGTTACTGAGAGCTGATTGTTAGCATTACTGCTACTGAGAGCTGATTGGTTAGCATTACTGTTACTGAGAGCTGATTGTTAGCATTACTGCTACTGAGTGCTGATTGGTTAGCATTACTGCTACTGAGAGCTGATTGGTTAGCATTACTGTTACTGAGAGCTGATTGTTAGCATTACTGGTACTGAGAGCTGATTGTTAGCATTACTGCTACTGAGTGCTGATTGGTTAGCATTACTGCTACTGAGCACTGATTGTTAGCATTACTGCTACTGAGAGCTGATTGTTAGCATTACTGCTACTGAGAGCTGATTGTTAGCATTACTGCTACTGAGAGCTGATTGTTAGCGTTACTGCTACTGAGCGCTGATTGTTAGCATTACTGCTACTGAGAGCTGATTGTTAGCATTACTGCTACTGAGAGCTGATTGTTAGCATTACTGCTACTGAGCGCTGATTGGTTAGCATTACTGCTACTGAGAGCTGATTGGTTAACATTACTGTTACTGAGAGCTGATTGTTAGCATTACTGCTACTGAGCACTGATTGTTAGCATTACTGCTACTGAGAGCTGATTGTTAGCATTACTGCTACTGAGAGCTGATTGTTAGCATTACTGCTACTGAGAGCTGATTGTTAGCATTACTGCTACTGAGAGCTGATTGTTAGCATTACTGCTACTGAGAGCTGATTGTTAGCATTACTGCTACTGAGCACTGATTGGTTAACATTACTGCTACTGAGAGCTGATTGTTAGCATTACTGCTACTGAGCGCTGATTGGTTAACATTACTGCTACTGAGCGCTGATTGTTAGCATTACTGGTACTGAGCACTGATTGGTTAACATTACTGCTACTGAGCGCTGATTGTTAGCATTACTGGTACTGAGCGCTGATTGGTTAGCATTACTGAAACTGAGCGCTGATTGGTTAGCATTACTGCTACTGAGAGCTGATTGGTTAGCATTACTGGTACTGAGAGCTGATTGGCTAGCATTACTGCTACTGAGTGCTGATTGTTAGCATTACTGCTACTGAGCACTGATTGGTTAACATTACTGCTACTGAGCGCTGATTGGTTGGCATTACTGCTACTGAGAGCTGATTGGTTAGCATTACTGAAACTGAGCGCTGATTGGTTAGCATTACTGCTACTGAGCGCTGATTGTTAGCATTACTGCTACTGAGAGCTGATTGGTTAGCATTACTGCTACTGAGGCCTGATTGGTTAGCATTACTGCTACTGAGCGCTGATTGGTTAGCATTACTGCTACTGAGAGCTGATTGGTTAGCATTACTGCTACTGAGCGCTGATTGGTTAGCATTACTGCTACTGAGAGCTGATTGTTAGCATTACTGCTACTGAGCGCTGATTGTTAGCATTACTGCTACTGAGAGCTGATTGGTTAGCATTACTGAAGCTGAGCGCTGATTGGTTAACATCACTGTTACTGAGCGCTGATTGTTAGCATTACTGTTACTGAGCGCTGATTGTTAGCATTACTGCTACTGAGCGCTGATTGGTTAGCCTTACTGCTACTGAGCGCTGCTTGTTAACATTACTGTTACTGAGAGCTGATTGTTAGCATAACTGCTACTGAGAGCTGATTTTAGCATTACTGCTACTGAGTGCTGATTGGTTAGCATTACTGCTACTGAGCGCTGATTGTTAGCCTTACAGCTACTGAGCGGTGATTGTTAGCATTACTGCTACTGAGAGCTGATTGGTTAGCCTTACTGCTACTGAGCGCTGATTGTTAGCATTACTGCTACTGAGAGCTGATTGGTTAGCATTACTGCTACTGAGCGCTGATTGTTAGCCTTACTGCTACTGAGCGCAGATT